TATGGTGGGTCGGGTACTGTCAACACAAATATTATTTTTTATCTAATTGCTTCAGCTTTTCACATAGAACACTGTATGGATCTTAATAAAGAAAATAGATATCCATGAAATTTCCAAGTTTTTTATGCATCTTTAAAAATTAGGCAATTAGGTCTTTCTACTTTTCGATGGAAAGACCTATTGTATTTGTTCTGATTATTATTAGGTCTTTCCACTTTTCCGTGGAAAGACCTATTGATTTTGTTCTGATTATTTTTTTTCTTTTGCTGTTTGGTTGTTTCGCAAGATGTCGGTTTGATATTTGGTATATGATATCGAACAGTTTATGCGCTTTCAAAACTGACCCTGCTTAACTGAATACTTTTCTTTGTAAGAGTTATCTCCCCGAACACTGTTTTTCTTGTGTTTGCTACTTCTTCGTAACCGTAAAAGATTACGACAAATTTATTTTACCAAATTGCTCGTTATATCTTCAGGATTAAGGGTATCATTTGAACCGAAGCTATCCGGAGACTCCATATGAGAGTTATTTCCCCTTATGCATTTGATATAAGTAATTTGCATTGGTAAATGAAAAACCAAAAGTGTTAGAGACCTTGGCTTATTCTCACTTCTTTTCATAAACCGTACAAGATATTGACGATATATTTCTATTAATTTGTCATTTGCAACATGTGGTAACTTCTAAATTTTGGTTCAAAGGGTGCGTAGACATTAAATGGGAGTTTTCGCCCCTCTTATATTAAAAATTAGGCATATAGTGATATAACTCATTAACCATGTATAATTAAGACCTAGGGTCTTTTGATTTGAAGCCCTTGGTTAATGACCTTGAAATTGAGCTCAAGGTCATTGGTAAATTTGACGTTCCAGATATTGACCTTTGCTTTTAGCTCATATGTATACATGATAAAGCCATGGGACTTTTTGCATTACGTTGCAAGCCACTTGACCATGGAAAAGCCAACCGGAAGTGACCATGTATAAACCGGAAGTAGCTATTTTTTGTACTTATTAAATGTAAAAGTATATTGAACCATATATTTTTGGAATCAGTATCAAGTAAACTATAAAAAAAAAACGGAAGTGACATTTTTCAAACCGGAAGTAACAATGTATCTCCCTTATTTAGAAAAAAAATGTATAGAAACCATATATTTTTGGAATCAGTGTACAATAAGTTATCCTTTGACGCTGGATATGATATTTTAAAAGTTCTATATCAAAATTGATCTTTATGGGTGGAAAGACCTTCAATTGTTCTCTGAACAATTGGTTTTTAATTCTGATCAAAATTGCTTTTCATATTTGTATTTTGCCAATAACCTAACACTTTTTATACGACTGCAAAAAAAATTTGTGGTCGTATATTGGTATGACGTTGGCGTCGTCGTCGTCGTCGTCGTCGTCATTGTCGTCGTCCGGCGTCGTCGTCGTCCGAAGACACATTGGTTTTCGCACTCTAACTTTAGTTTAAGTGAATGGATCTCTATGAAATTTTACCACAAGGTTCAATACCACAAAAGGAAGGTTGGGATTGATTTTGGGGGTTATGGTACCAACAGTAAAGGAATTAGGGGCCAAAAAGGGGCCAAAAATAAGCATTTTTGTAACTTCCAGACATAACTTGTGTGTTAGTGTATGGATCTCTCTGACATTGTACCACAAGGTTCCATATCACAAAAGGAATGCTGGGATTGATTTTGGGGGTAATGGCCTCAAATTTTAGGAATTAGGGGCCAAAAAAGGGGCAAAACACAAGCATTTTTCTAGTTTCATGACAATAACTTGTGTGTAAGTGTATGGATCTTTCTGAAATTGTACTACAAGGTTCCATATCATAAAGGGAAAGCTGGAATTGAGTTTGGGGGTAATAGCCGAAATATTAAGGAATTGGGGGCCAAAAAGGGGCCAAAAATAAACATTTTTCTAGTTTCCAGACAATAACTTGTGTTCAAGTGTATGGATCTCTCTGAAATTGTACTGCAAGGTACCATACCACAAAGGGAAGGCTGGGATTGATGATGGGGGTAATTGCCTCAATATTTTAGGAATAAGGGGCCAAAAAGGGGCAAAAAAACAAGCATTTTTACAGTTTCAGGACAATAACTTGTGTGTAAGTGTATGGATCTCTCTGAAATTGTACTGCAAGGTACCATACCACAAAGGGAAGGCTGGGATTGATGATGGGGGTAATTGCCTCAATATTTTAGGAATTTGGGGCCAAAAAGGGGCCAAAAAACACATTTTTCTAGTTTCCAGACAATAACTTGTGTTCAAGTGTATGGATCTCTCTGAAATTGTACTGCAAGGTACCATACCACAAAGGGAAGGCTGGGATTGAGTTTGGGGGTGATGAATCATAAGGGGGTTCAAAAAATTTGGGGGGGGGATTTTTTTTTTTTTCATTTTTTTTTTCTTTTAAAATTTTCCATTTTAAGTTGGTTATTTCTGATTTATATTTAAAAGCAAATAATAATGATATGATAGGAGATACACACCAAACAGGATGTGTAAATTATTATATAATAAGTATTGTGCAATAGCAAGAAATTTTCAATTGCACAGTATTGCACAAAAGCAAGAAATTTCAATTGCACAGTATTGCGCAATAGCAAGAAATCTTCAATTGCACAGTATTGCGCAAAAGCAAGAAATATCCAATAGCACAATATTGCGCAATAGCAAGAAATTGTCAATTGTACAGTATTGCGCAATAGCAAGAAATATTTAATTGCACAGTATTGTGCAAAAGAAGATACTTTGTATAAAATGCTTATTTCTTGACCAATTTCAATGGGGTTTTATTCTTGAATTCTTGGGGTTCTTTAATATGCTGAATCTAACCGTGTATTTAGTTTTTGGATTTAGGCCCCGTTTTTAAATTGGTCCACATTGAGGTCCAAAGGGTCCAAAATTAAACTTAGTTTGATTTTAACAAAAATTGAATTCTTAGGGTTCTTTGATATGCTGAATCTAAACATGTATTTAGATTTTTGATTATGGGCCCAGTTTTCAAGTTGGTCCAAATCGGGGTCCAAAATTAAATTTGTTTGATTTCAACAAAAATTGAATATATGGGGTTCTTTGATATGCTGAATCTAACCATGTATTTAGATTTTTGATTTTTGGGTCCCGTTATCAACTTTGTCCACATTGAGGTCAAAAGGGTCCAAAATTAAACTTTGTTTGATTTCATCAAAAATTGAATTATTGGGGTTCTTTGATATGCCGAATCTAACCGTGTATTTAGATTCTTAAATTTTGGTTCCGTTTTCAAATTGGTCTACATTAAGGTCCAAAGGGTCCAAAATTAAACTTAGTTTGATTTTAACAAAAATTGAATTCTTAGGGTTCTTTGATATGCTGAATCTAAACATGTATTTAGATTTTTGATTATGGGCCCAGTTTTCAAGTTGGTCCAAATCGGGGTCCAAAATTAAATTTGTTTGATTTCAACAAAAATTGAATATATGGGGTTCTTTGATATGCTGAATCTAACCATGTATTTAGATTTTTGATTTTTGGGTCCCGTTATCAACTTTGTCCACATTGAGGTCAAAAGGGTCCAAAATTAAACTTTGTTTGATTTCATCAAAAATTGAATTATTGGGGTTCTTTGATATGCCGAATCTAACCGTGTATTTAGATTCTTAATTTTTGGTTCGGTTTTCAAATTGGTCTACATTAAGGTCCAAAGGGTCCAAAATTAAACTTAGTTTGATTTTAACAAAAATTGAATTCTTAGGGTTCTTTGATATGCTGAATCTAAACATGTATTTAGATTTTTGATTATGGGCCCAGTTTTCAAGTTGGTCCAAATCGGGGTCCAAAATTAAACTTTGTTTGATTTCAACAAAAATTGAATATATGGGGTTCTTTGATATGCTGAATCTAACCATGTATTTAGATTTTTGATTTTTGGGCCCCGTTATCAAATTGGTCCACATTGAGGTCAAAAGGGTCCAAAATTAAACTTTGTTTGATTTCATCAAAAATTGAATTCTTGGGGTTCTTTGATATGCTGAATCTAACCATGTATTTAGATTTTGGATATTGGACCATAATAGGTGAATGTCCAATTTAAAATTTTTAAGTTCTTAGACCACATTCATTCTTTGTCAGAAACCTATGCTGTGTCAAATATTTAATCACAATCCAAATGCAAAGCTGTATCAAGCTTGAATGTTGTGTCCATACTTGCCCCAACTGTTCAGGGTTAGACCTCTGCGGTCGTATCAAGCTGCGCCCTGCGGAGCATTTTATTTAACTATTCGAATGAATTCAAAGTTTTACAATCAAAAAAGTTATTAATTGAATGTGTGGCTGTGTGCCCTTAAAGATAAATACAATAATTCATATATTTCAGAAGTGTGCAGTTGACTTTTATGCCCAAACTGATGATAGTTAGGTCTAGGAGGACAACCTCCTTGTTTACAGTTATTGTTACTTATTTCTCACTTATGAAATATTCAATGAGGTTAATTTTAAGCTTCTTTCATTAAAAAATACACTTGAAGTGAACACATTTATTACATAAGCATTACCTGTAGGTAATAAGACACAGTACAAGAAATTTAGCCACATTTTAATTTTACAGTCTGTAACAAAATCTTTTCCAACTACTAGTCACAAGACAAATTTTCCTTATGTGTCTTAACAAAGTTTTGCAAAATTACTAGTCCGATAAAATTTTACTAGTCTGGGGCATCAGACTAGTGGCTAACAGTGTAGGCTGTTTAATCTAGTTAAAAGTTTAAACAAGATATGAAAAACAATAGTGTGCATACATCTTATCACATCAATAGTTTAGTCTAAATCTGTCAATTATTGTGATACATGTAAATGAAACCATTGATTTCAACATTTGAGAAGACTCTGAAATGCATTCTGAAATGCTAAGTTAGTAACTTTAAGTCAATCATCAGTGATCTAGGATTAAGTGTTGGTTTCAGAGCTCTGCATGCGCAGTATTTAGAATTTAGATATTTATTTTTCAGACTAACATAGCAGAATGATAGACATAGCTGTACTGGCCGGGGTGGCTATTGTCATTTCCTCTGTTGTGTTGGTGTTTGGATGTGTTTGTCATCTGTTTAAGAGAGGATCAGGATTCACAGTAAGTTTTTATGCCCCCGCCGTAGCGGAGGGGGCATTAAATTTTACCCTTGTCTGCCTGTACGTACGTACGTCCCAAAATTGGTTTCCGTTTTCTAACTTTAGTTTGCCTCAACCAAATGTTATGAAACTTATACACGATGCTTATTACCACAAAACACAGATCAAGTTTGAATTTTGGTGGTGTCACCTTATACCGCTCTAGAGTTATGCCCTTTACAAATGGAAAAGTTGCTGAATTTTTCGTTTCCGTTCTCTAATTTTTTAATAAAGATATAACCATGATTGTAAAGAGATGAAATGATTGATAAATAAAGACAACAAGTGTCCAAGGAGAAAATGCTGTTCCTCTTCTTCAATGTTTTGTGAAGGGATTTTGTGTTATGAATTACTCACCATATTCAAACTATTCCTTTAATTTTTAAACATAAGTACATGTACTGTGGATTCACTTATATTTGTGGATACCAATTTTTCATGGATTGAGGAAAAACTATTTCTTTCATGGATTGACATCCGATCTCGTGGTTTTGTCAAAGCCTGCGTTCAAGCTTTAAAAAAAGGTGTTTCAGTGAGCATTTAAATTTGTGGTTTACCTTGACTCATGAGATCAACAAAAGTTGGTATCTGAAGAAAACTAACGAATCCACTAAAGTAGTCAAGAGCACAACATGAACATTACACTATGAGCTATATGATTTTCTACAAAATATGACTTACAGAAAGGTAAACAATTCCTATTCTAACTCATTCCTGTCAAACTTATTAAGATAAAAGTATAGCAAGGAAGTTGCAAAGTTACAAAGTGTGCTTGAAAAAAAGCATTCACCTAATTTTTCAACTTTTAGTAATTACTAGATACATTTTGTAAGTTGACAATTCAAATTTTAAAAAAATAGACAAATAAACTCATTTATTTCCCTGTGATTTTGATGGTGTCTTAAACTCACAATAGTCCAGCTAGGGTTTAAATGTAGAGACACAGAGTTTAAGGATGAAGGGAATGTTAGCACTGTTTCTTTCTAACAAGGGACATCTTGATCATATTAGCACTGTTTCTATCTAACAAGGGACATCTTGATCATGTTAGCACTGTTTCTATCTAACAAGGGACATCTTGATCATGAAAGCACTGTTTCTATCTAACAAGGGACATCTTGATCATGAAAGCACTGTTTCTATCTAACAAGGGACATCTTGATCATGTTAGCACTGTTTCTATCTAACAAGGGACATCTTGATCATGTTAGCACTGTTTCTTTCTAACAAGGGACATCTTGATCATGTTAGCACTGTTTCTATCTAACAAGGGACATCTTGATCATGTTAGCACTGTTTCTTTCTAACAAGGGACATCTTGATCATGTTAGCACTGTTTCTTTCTAACAAGGGACATCTTGATCATGTTAGCACTGTTTCTTTCTAACAAGGGACATCTTGATCATGTTAGCACTGTTTCTATCTAACAAGGGACATCTTGATCATGTTAGCACTGTTTCTATCTAACAAGGGACATCTTGATCATGTTAGCACTGTTTCTATCTACCAAGGGACATCTTGATCATGTTAGCACTGTTTCTTTCTAACAAGGAACATCTTGATCACAAGGGACATCTTGATCATGTTTACAGATAATGAATGAATAATAATTGAGGACAAATTAATGTAATTTTACAGGAAATAAATGAATATTTACTGGATTCATAGAATCATAGTATTCTTGGATTGTCAAAACCTTTTTCCAGCACTTAAAATTCTTCTTTTTTTTTGCATTGGAAAGTATTTATTGTCCTTCAGAATGCATAAATGCTAAGAACATGTAGAACATTACTATAATGACAGAGGGGAGGTTTGACGCTATATTTTGGGCTAGTTAGAACACTGACTCTGTCTGCCGTCTTGTCATAAGATGTTACACATGAAACCTAACTCTGATAAGCAATGTTGGTTCTTGTATAGGCAAATATCTAGTATAAAAAAATTAACACTTAAATATAGAATTAATTATTTGTTGCTATATGTAGTTCAATTATTTTGAAAGTATAAATGCAATAGCTATATACCGATATATAACACATTTATGTGTAAACATGTTTTGCATGAAGTCTACTACAAATATCTTGGATCTTGATTAAAAATCAAAAAAATGTTTTTGCTTGCTAATGTGAAAATAAATTGGCCAATGAGACAACTATCCACCATAGTTCAAATGAAGAGGATGTAAGTAATTATAGGCAACCATATGGCCTTCAACAATAAGAAAAACCCATACCGTATAATCAGCTATAAAAGGCACTGACATGAAAAATATGAAACAATCCAATTGAGGACACAAATGGCCTAATTTATAACAAAACAATTTATGAACCAAAGACAACCACTGAACTACAGGCTCCTGACTTGGGACAGGTCCTTAAACATGCTTTAGTAGAACAATAACAGTAACATAAAATAAATGTGTGTTTCAAGTCAATTGTAAATGCTTTACTTAGACCAATACAATTTTTGTTTTTATTTTATCCAGACATTTGAAAATGATTTGGAGGGTGGCTTTGGAAACACAGTCTTCTCCCAAGGTGATACCTCTGATATATCACAAGTTACATTTGAGACCATCCCAGATATACTAGCCAAAACAGTCACTGCTACAGCATTGAGGCCTAGAATATCATGTACCAATACAGAAATACAGAAACAGAGTGCTAAACGAGTGGGTAAGTCAGTCATACCACCACACATTACAGAACCAGAGTACTAAACAAGTGGGTAAGTCAGTCATACCACCACAAATTACAGAAACAGAGTGCTAAACGAGTGGGTAAGTCAGTCATACCACCACACATTACAGAACCAGAGTGCTAAACGAGTGGGTAAGTCAGTCATACCACCACAGATTACAGAACCAGAGTGCTAAACGAGTGGGTAAGTCGGTCATACCACCACAAATTACAGAAACAGAGTGCTAAACGAGTGGGTAAGTCAGTCATACCACCACACATTACAGAACCAGAGTGCTAAACGAGTGGGTAAGTCAGTCATACCACAACACATTACAGAACCAGAGTGCTAAACGAGTGGGTAAGTCAGTCATACCACAACACATTACAGAACCAGAGTGCTAAACGAGTGGGTAAGTCAGTCATACCACAACACATTACAGAAACAGAGTGCTAAACGAGTGGGTAAGTCAGTCATACCGCAACACATTACAGAAACAGAACGATAAATGAGTGGGTAAGTCAGTCATACCACAACACATTACAGAAACAGAGTGCTAAACGAGTGGGTAAGTCAGTCATACCACAACACATTACAGAACCAGAGTGCTCAACAAGTGGGTAAGTCGGTCATACAACCACACATTACAGAAACAGTGCTAAACGAGTGGGTAAGTCGGTCATAACACCACAAATTACCAAAACACAGTGGGAAACATTCTTGTAAGTGAAAATGTCACACATTTTTTACCAAAAAGTGGTAAATGAGTTGGTAATTGAAACCATCACAAAAAACACAAACAATGTGCTTAACAATTGGGTAATTGAAACCGTCACAAATAGCAGAAATAAAGTGCTATATCACTAGCTAAATTAATCCTATAATACAATAATCACAGGCACATAGGAATGGAGTGGTCATTGTGTTTGTTATTCTACTTATACAAGTGAGACCTATATTATCATGAAAGAAAAACAGTGACACTTTTCATGTATTGCTCTTTTGTATGTTAGCTCAAATAATTGCTGAATACTCTGAGACTTTCTATATTTCCTAGAGATGAATGCTTGTTAGGCCAAAAAAAAATATGTCTGTTTGTGGTTACCCAACCGACCCTACTTTTGAGCGCTGACCTTAAGTCATATTGTTCCCGTAGTAAAGTGAAAAATTAAATGAACGAAGTTAAGAGTTGCCAATAAAATAAATCCATTGCCTATTATATCTAAATGTTCACAATCGTGAATATGACATCTGTTTAAAGAAACTTGCGACTCATGTGATGAAATAAATCACTTTGCCGCCATTTTTTCCCAACCAATTACCAAGGGAAATAATCCAATCGTTAAAAATACTGGTAAACTCAGCCCATGGACAACTCAAACCACGTTAAGACGGACCGTACGACTCAAATTCATGTCGCAAAAAATAAAATGAAAAAATAAAATAAAATGGAAATACCGACCTACCTACCTTATTTTTTTTTAATGATGTAACCTTAAGCAGACATATATTTTTTTGTGGATCATGTCTGAACAATACATATACATACACCCACCATAAAAAAATACAGAAACAGCTGTACTGTATACGTGCATATTTTTGAGGTTTGACTGCATCTATTTCTGCATGGCGGTTAAATTTGGGCATTATGATAAATTTGCACTTCATATAAATATTTTGCATTCTGAAGTTAATTTGTGCAGGGAATATTTTCATGTATTTGATGTGAACATGAAATAGGCGAAGATTGAACTGCATAAATATTTCCATGTTTACAGTATGCAAAAAACCAAAACATAGCAAGGAAGTATCAGGATTTAAATATATGGAACCCTTTTTAATTTTTATATTTTTAGCACACCTTTCTTTTATGTAATTGAGCTTAACACCCTATATGTACTATAGTGAATCCACAGTCATTTTTATTTCAGCTTCCTTCAAAGCTTTTCCTAGAAGTCATCTGACCTACATTAAAGAAATGGGTGTTGGTTGGTTTGGTCAGGTTAGTAATATTGAATAAAATTTAATGACCTTCAATGATATATCATACAAGAATACTCTATTTGCCATAAGTGTAGATATATATGATATATTCTTTGGTTAAAAAAAAATGTGTATCCACCAAATTAAAACCATCCATCTGGCAGTGAGTTATCTATGTTTAAAAGGAACATTTTCAAAGTGCAGATATTAACCAACAAACTGTAGGTCCTTATCATCATATGTCAACAAAATTAACTGAACATCATAGCACAATACATCAGTGTCACCCTCACTATATGTTAAAAAAAATCTTTACCACAACTTTTGAGGGGTCTGTAGGTAGCAGGTTGCAATTCAAACTGTCTGCCTCTTTTCGTGTTAATAGTTTCTCATCCTGAATATGCATGAAATAATTGCCACTGGACATTCAGCAAGCAACAATCATTGAATCGATCACTGGCTTCATACCTAGGCCTATTTCTACCTTTTTGAGTAAACACATCATAGTGCATTGAGGTAAACATTAATTTAGATCTTTAATATCCATGTCCATGTCATGAGTAAACACATCATAGTGCAGTGAGGTAAACATTATTTTAGATCTTTAATATCCATGCCCATGTCATGAGTAAACACATCATAGTGCAGTGAGGTAAACATTAGTTTAGATCTTTAATATCCATGCCCATGTCATGAGTAAACACATCATAGTGCAGTGAGGTAAACATTTATTTAGATCTTTAATATCCATGCCCATGTCATGAGTAAACACATCATAGCGCAGTGAGGTAAACATTTATTTAGATCTTTGATATCCATGCCCATGTCATGCAATGTATATGTAAATTAAACTCAGATATTCAAGTTTATACAAAAGAATCATGAGAATGTATTTATGTATCACTAGTGGTCAAGAAAACAAATTCCTTTCAAAATGACATACCTACTAAAATTATGGACAAAGGGAGATAACTCAATTCAAAATATTGCCTGAATAATACAATTAAAATTACAGTGGAAAATGAAAGCAATCTTAACCCCTAAGAGTTCATAAAGCACTTTTTATATTTTGCAATGTTTTTGGAAAAAGTTTTCTTATATTTATACTTGAACTTTATTAGTTTGTGTGTACTGGTAAGTATGTTGATAAGAGATTTTTTTATGCCCCCGCCTAGAAGAGGGGCATTAAGTTTTACCCTTGTTTTATTTGGAAATAATTTTTAGTGGGTTTTATTTTAATTATTGTACTTGATCTTTCACTCACTAAGTCTTTTGGGTTTTGTTTAATTTTTGAGTTAGCTTGCACGGTTTGCACATCAATTAACGTCCTACAAATAAGCATTTTAACTTATAATTGTGTCAGATAGAAATTTCATAAACACTTACAAAACTATATTGCCTGTGAAACTGTTCTGACGGTATATTAGTAAATTAACATTCATTTTATGTGAAATCCTGTTTACAATTTTACACAGTGAATACCTGTTTTATATACTGCTTTCCATCATTATTGTTATGGCCCTGCCAGTTAGTGTTCATGCCATTCAGCTGACCATTTTTTCAATGAAAACACTTTTTGTGAGAGGGGCCATTAGTTTCGTTCCAACACATCTAGTTTTAAATTACAATCCTTTAATTTCTTATTTGTCAATTTTAAGATATCTATTACAGGTACTTGTAAGTGAAGCGTACAACATGGTGACCAGTAGTAGGAGTACCCGTGTTGTTGTCAAAATGATGAAAGATGATGCCAACTCAACAGAACAACAACTATTTCTTCAGGATCTCTCAGTCTACAGGTAACTTTAACAACTTAAATTTGCAGGAAAGAGTGATTTGGTAAAAGAACACAATTTGCGTATTTTTTGGATTCTCAATAAAAAAGCCTGGGAAATTATTTTTTTAGTCCCCTACTGACGAAGTCAAAGGGGACTTTAAGTTTGCACTCCGTCTGTCTGTCCGTCTGTCTGTCTGTCTGTCCATCTGTCAGTCCGGCAAATGAGCTTTCCACACTTTTTTTCTTCGTTCTTGAAGATATTGATTTCATATTTGGTATATAGTTTTATCATGACAAGTTATAGATCAAGTTCGAATTTTGTTCCGGTCTGATGATTTAGTCCAGAGTTATGGACCATAACTCTAGACCATATCTAATGTTAGAGTACTATGTTAAACCATATTTCTGTACAAAGGGAGATAACTCATTTTTTAAAAGACATTCTTTGTTAAATTATTTGAAGAATTTTTTTGACAGGTTTGTTTTTTATTTATTATAAACTAATTTTCTGAATGCTATATATATAAAAAAAAATTATGAAGAGAAATCCTTTAATTAGATAATAATCTATTTTTATTAATGTATATATTTCAATACATTACATTGTGTAGATAAAAGTTGTTGACATTTTATAGATAAGTTACAAATCTATATTAGTTTGTGACAAATGAAAGAAAAAAATATTTGGAACTATTAATTATATCTGATTATAATTTGAAAATAGATATACACTGTATTACATCATATCTAATTTTAGAGAACTATTAATCATAGCTGATGTTTTTTTCATCATGCTTATATGATAATGATTGATAATTGGTATATAGTTTTATCATGACAAGTTACAGATCAAGTTCAAATTTTTGTTTCGGTCTAATAATTTTGTGTAGAGTTATGGTCCTTGGACCAGTGATCGGGAAGGACGTGCGCAATGCGCCAATTGCGCTTTTCGACCATAAATGTTGCATAGGGTGACAAATGTAAGCGCCCACATGGCACACGATATTTTTCACTTCGTTTTTAAACTTTAGATATCGTAAAATGGATTTCCGATCGTGAATCATGTCGCCATGTGTGTGTACAAAACTGTGTAGTGTTCCCTCCAATGATAGGAGCACCACCTATTGATTTTTAGGACGTCTCGGGCGTTTTTATGGTAATAATAGCAACATGCGGTATAACTGATTACCCAAAATACGTAATAAACCATCATTCATGATATAAATTTTTATAAACAACTTTAAATTTGTGAAATTTGGCTAGAACAGTCGAAAATTTTTCTCTAATTATAATTTTTTAAGTAATCTTGCTATTATTTCGATTGAAAAACCCAAAAGCCTTTTTATGAATGTAGTATTTGTTTCCATAAAAGGCGCTTAACTGTCCTTGTCAATTTTTTGGTCTTTAGCTTGTTTGAACATTTTGTAAACATGCCTTCAGCGAATTGTTGTTGTGTCTTATCAATTAACATTACTCTCTACTGTTATTCTTGTCATCGCGATGAAGTAATAATAATACAAGAAGTGCAGAGGAAATGCCAGAAACGTCCTCTAATACGGAACGTCTGGAATAAAGTATGGCAATCGACGAAGACCCAAATTTAATGTAAAGAAAAACATGAACATGAACAAGGCAACAGTACCAGTTGTAAATAAAGGTTATCGTAAATATTGCCAGGTTTGGAAGAAATTATTGTATATTCATTGAAATTGAAATTACAAAGCACAGGAACAATATCCATGATATCAATTAGAATCATACAGGTACTGTAAGTACCACTGCCTCATTGCTGAAATATACATTTTATTTTTAAATTATTTATTGTAAACGAATGGCCCACTCATTTGACAACATGGCCCATTAATTCTAAAAATGGCCCATTGAATTTATTTTATGGGGGCCCTGGGCCCATAGAGAAAAATTCCTTCCAGATCACTGTTGGACTTGAAAAATTCACTCATATAATCAGTTTTCCACACTGTTTTTAGTCATGCTTGAAGATATTGACATGATATTTACTTTTTGTTTACACCATGACAAGTTATAGAACAAGTTAGCATTTTGTTCCAGTATAAGGAGTTTTTACCCGGTAGGGGACTATGTATTGCCATGCAATACTCTCAGAATACTTGTTATAAATTACACAAGGTCCTTACTCAAAGCGAAAACGGTTTGGACCTTAGATCTGCACATTTTGATAAGCCTGTATGTTTGGTTTTATGATGAGAAAATAGTACAATCATAAAATTGTTTTCTTCCTATTAATGCAATGAAATTTTAACAAAGGTCTGAAAGCTCACAAATAATTTGTTTTTGTATTCAGAATAAGAAGTCTTGTATGATATTGCTATGTTATTTTCCACACTTGCCTAACTCCAAAGAAGAGTTAGAATAAATACACTGTAAACAAGATGCAAGAGGAGACAACTCACTCTATTTCCTGTAGAAGGGGTAAATTCAGTAAAAAATCTCCCATTGACTGTAATGCTAATCTATGTCTTGAATTAAATTTATACCTGATTTACCTTTAGAAATTAGAAAATTTCATATATCATTCATGAAAGTACAAATGTAGCCCTATCATTTGCAACAATAAAAACATAGGGTCATGCGGCATTTTTGGGCATTCACATGGCCTTGTTTACAAACACTGTAGATTCGCACTTAATTCCTTCACTGACCCCCATTACTTTTCAACCCTGTAGTAAAAAAATTTAGTACATTCAGCATTTATTTTTTATTTTTTTTCAACTCTAATTTTTATCCATCTATCAAAAAATATTTATTACAAACATTATCTACCAATCAGAAGAGCACATGACTTCAGTTTTATACAGAAAGCTCTCCCCCAAATGGGCGGTCCCTGATGACGTATATTTATTTACTGAATTTACCCCTATAAGGGACTTTTTAGTAGCTTTTCCCTCTTTTTTTGTAATAATCATGTAATATATCCAATTTTCAAGTTCCAGTTTCAATACAACATTCATAAATGCTGAACTTGTAAAGATAGAGGAAAATTTATACTACAGCCCATACTGCGGCCAATGTATATTTGGTATATAAAGTTGCATATTGACTGTTTGTAAAAGAATGGTGTAAAATACTATGCTTAATAAATATGAATTGTTTTCTGTGTTTGCTTTGACCAGTATTGCAAGTACATCTAGAAACTAAAGTCTTGATGTACTCTTAGTTAAATTTTGCCTTATATGGAAGTTTTTGATTACATACCCTGAAAAGACCACAAAAACACTTTTCAAAGGCTTTTTTAAGCAGTTTCATACAAAAAAACCAACGATTATGTTTCATTTTACTAAATTTGTGTTTTAATTACTTGTAAAGTTCACAAAATGTCATTGACAATCACTCTGCAGAAATTCCTGTTACCCCAACATCAGGATGGTTTCTTCGCCAAAACTAGACAGACAAAACTGAAGTAGAAAAAAGTGCCAAATATGAAAAAATAAGACTGGGTATGACCAAACTTTGCATTTGGAAGATTAAAGTAACAATTTAGAATATTTAAAAGCAATTATTTAACATAGTAATCCAATTACAAACATTTCAACACTAGTTTCATAGATGAAGGGCATGTAATCATAAAAAGTTATCTACAATTTTTTTTAAATAAAGAAACGCAATGCGTTATGTAAAAATAAATGAATATCTCCATGCGGTCAGATTATTCAAGTGTTAAAATACTTGAGAAGTGCTTATTTACAACTTGTTCTACAACTTAACATGGTGAAACACAGTTAAAAAAAAAAACACTGTCAAAGGGAGGTAATTCTGATTTTCCATATGATTTTACACATAATGAGGAGAAATATGTGCAAAATGTGTTGTAAAATGGGGGGAATATTTATGCCTTTCATTGATATCATAACTCTCAAGTGTAATTTCTATTGTTTCTTTCAATCTGGAAACAAAAACTGATTTTTACCATATACCCCATGCTTCCTCTCACAGTACACTCAGTGCATCTTGGATAGCCGAGTTAAACATAGAAATTTGTGTAAAAAACAACTTCAAATGGTTCCAAAATGCTTCCATTACATTAATATACACAGGAAATAAGTTTTGTGATGATTGTATGGCCTTGGACAAGTACAGTGACAGAATGCATATTTTCCTATAGGGGTAAATTCAGTAAAAAATCTCCCATTGACTGTAATGCTAATCTATGTCTTGAATTAAATTTATACCTGATTTACCTTTAGAAATTAGAAAATTTCATATATCATTCATGAAAGTACAAATGTAGCCCTATCATTTGCAACAATAAAAACATAGGGTCATGCGGCATTTTTGGGCATTCACATGGCCTTGTTTACAAACACTGTAGATTCGCACTTAATTCCTTCACTGACCCCCATTACTTTTCAACCCTGTAGTAAAAAAATTTAGTACATTCAGCATTTATTTTTTATTTTTTTTCAACTCTAATTTTTATCCATCTATCAAAAAATATTTATTACAAACATTATCTACCAATCAGAAGAGCACATGACTTCAGTTTTATACAGAAAGCTCTCCCCCAAATGGGCGGTCCCTGATGACGTATATTTATTTACTGAATTTACCCCTATAGTCAACATCCTTTGTAGTATAGATATTTCATGAGTTCATTATACAATGGCAATCATAGACACATGTAATTTGACTGATTAAATTAAATATTAGTATCCTTTATAAGGGGGAAGTTAGTGTCACTTACTTAAAAAATAGATATTTAGAGGATTGATTTTACCCTTGTTTTCTTATGTAACAGATCAAATTGTTTATTTCAGAGAGCTGGACCATCCCAATGTATTGAAGTTGCTAGGACAATGTACAGAAGCCTCTCCTTTTTTAACTATTGTTGAGTATGCTAGCATGGTAAGTCTATTTTTATTCTTTTTTTCCATAATTTTACTGATAAATACATGTAGACTAAGTTTATTTGCAGTTAACATTAGGTACAGTACAGACTGGGGTTCAAGTTTTATAGACATCAGTTACTTTGTCAAAACTTCATAGAACTTTACATTACTTTGGCAAAAGCTTTTTTATGATTAAGAAATAATGTTCAATGCAAAATTTTTAAAATGTTTTTGTCCTTTATTTTTTCATATTTTTCTGATAAATGGACTTTTTTTGCAGTTGACATTTAGATACAATCTAAGATTATTTTTTTTTAGACATCAGTAACTTTGTCAAACATTCATAGAATGTTATGAAACTTAGACAGAAGCTTCTTAAAGATCAAAAAATATCTTCAGAAGAAAAAAGTTTTAAGTTTTATGCCCCCGCCATAGCGGAGGGACCATTAAGTGTTACCCATGTCTGTCCGTACCGTCTGTCCGTCCTGAACATCCCCAAAATTGGTTTCCGTTCTCTAACTTTAGTTTGCCTAAATCAAATATTATAAAATTTATTCACAATGCATATTGCCACAAAACAGAGATCAAGTTCGAAATTGGGTGGTGTCACTTTTACTGTTCATGAGTTATGCCCCTTTATAAATGAAAAAAAATGCTAAATCTGTCGTTTCCTTTCTCTAACTTTATAGTTTGCCTAATAATAATTCAGTGTCCTTGATTTAACTTGAATGTACTCCAAAAGCTTTATATACATGAAAATAAGTAATTTATTATAATTCATGAAAAAAATTATTTCATTGGAAAAAAGTTAAAATAAATATTTAATTTAGATTGACATTTTTTTGCCAGGTTAGAAATTAAGCCCCTTAGGAGCCTCTGATTATTAGATTCTTGTATGATCAGTTATATTTCATATTTTTAGGGAGATCTGAAGAGTTACTTGAGGAAAGAACGACAAATTGTAAAAACAATGAAGGATGGTATAGTGAGAATGCAGTTCTTAACAGACATGGCCTCAGGACTGCAATGTTTACATGTTAATGGATATCTCCATCAGTAATTATCTGTAGTATACTAAATAGACTAACTATACTAACTTAGGACTGATGTGACTGTATACAGACTGGGGGCCAATTTGACCAACTGTTATCATTATATGTTGTATTATCATTCTTCCCTGCAGCTTTATCATTCTGCTTTGCAGTACAAGCAAGCATTAAAAGATATCTATGAAAGAGAAAAAAATCACCACTGTAGAGTTCATATTTTACTGAACGTATCAACTCAATGTTGTAAAGATATAAAAAGGGACATCATTTATGCAGAAACTTAAGCCCTATCTAGATAAAATATCATAAATTTATTTGTTTTATCTCACTTTATTAACCTTTTTCAAAGTTTAACTGTTGACATAGTTTATATGTTTGTGATGTTAACCATGGAAGAAGAAAATGTTAAATTTAATTGTGTTAAACCTATGATAAACAGTGAAGGTATATCCACAATTTTTTTATTTCATTACAGTGACTTTGCCTGTCGTAATTGTATGGTGATGTCAAATATGACTGTAAAGATTGGGGATTATGGTGTAGCTGAAGACCATTTTAGGGTTAGTATCTACAATGGAAAGCTGAACACCACATCTAGTGTAATTTTGATATACAGTTTGGAAATTGAAATTGTAGATTTTTGTGTTAAAATGGCACTGTCTTGAAATTGTTTTCATATCTCTGCAAAATTGTAATTAATATCATTGCAGATGCATGTCGTTGTTTATTACCTGTCAGGCAGGTTAATTTCAGGTGATCTTTCACCTGACACACATGTCTTAGTTTCTAGTTAACAACTCAAGCATATGGTAGCATTCTTTCTATAAAAAAAATAATTCTTGACTGTACCTTCAAACTAAATATCAATTTTCAAAATTATGATAAAAGAAGTAATCTTGCAAACATATGTTCAAATCTGTTTATATAAATTTTAGTACACTTTCCTGTCTTTTTGCCTGGAAGATAGGGAGAAATCCCTTATAACATTGAATCTGGTTATTTATAGATCTATAGACCTGATAAACAGCTGAAAGTCTCCTTTTGAGTTTCACTTGTCCCTGTTTAACTACCAGGGAGAGGTCACTTCTTCCTAAAGATCTTAAGTTTAATGACCCCTAGCCATTATTTTTAATTAAATGGAAATGCTGTACATTTTAAGTATATATATAATGAAATTTTTACATTTTAATTTTTTTAAAGATTATGATTGATTGATTTTTTGGTGTTTAATTCCACTTTCAGCACTATTGGCTATATGGTGGCAGTCTTTTTTTTTTTTTTTTTTGGTGGAGGAAACTGGAGTGCCCATAGAGAACCACTGACCTTCAACAATATTTTGAAATAGAAATCTACATTAAGTATTTGATATTATATTATAATAGCTTAAATATTATGCCATTATAAAGTTGCAGCAGTAAATACTAAAGAGCATACTGCAACAAGTAAAATAGGGAAACTTGGGAGTTCATAAAATTAATTATGTATTCTTATTCTTCTGCAGTACCTGTACTTATTTACTTTGTATTTTTTCAGGAGGATTATTATGACAATGGCCAGGACCTTTTACCTATCAGATGGATGGCTCCAGAGAGTATATCTTTAACTAATTCTATTTGGCAGGTTACAGAGTTCACTAAACAGTCTAACATGTGGTATGTCAATTGTCAGTTTTGAAAGTTATTATTTGTTCGACTTGAAAATAGAAAGTTTGAACATTTACTTTTAATAATCTTCTTGGACATTGTGTTTGTCTTTTACTCTGTGAAAAATTGGTATTTGTGAGATCCTCAACTTGTTCTGGAAGTACTGTAAATTAAGAAATTATTGCTTTTTTTTTAATTAATGCTAATAATGCGACATTGTCAGGTTCAAATTATAAAAACTCTCATTCATAATTTCAGCAGTGATTATCTTCTCAAAATTTTTGCAATCACATTTATACCAGTGATTAGCCATAATAAATCCATGCATTATTTTTGAATTTACAGTAGTTAAGTTCTTGACTGAAAGAAAATTTTGGATGACTTGTTTTTTTTCTTCGTGCCATAAGTCTACGATAAATTATTGTTATTAGGCCATACAAAAACCCTGACAGCTTGAAAAATATAGCTAAGTTTTATTCCCCTGCCGTAGGTGATGGGGGCATTAAGTGTTACCCTTGTCCTTCAGTCTTTACGTCTTTCTGTTCATCTGTCCATCCCATTTTCAAAGCTTGAGAGGGGGCCCTCGTACACATTCCTTTTGTATTTAAAAAGAAAAATTATCTGAAGAAGAAAATCACGAAAACAAATAGCAGTTCAAAAATATTATGGAAAGAAATAATAAAGTTTTTGCCTGCTTATTAAAAATAAAGGATTGGGTGTATTGATTCATATCACAAAATTATTTCAAGGACTTGATCAAAAACAAAAGCAAAGAAACAGGGGTTTTATTGCTTTTCTTCATCTCAAAGTCACAGTGAGGATTTCAAAACTAATTTTCACACCTCACTGATGATTCATGACAGCCTCTAAGCACTGGTTTTCAAGTAATTCTTTGCTAGATTTGTACAATGAAAAACACTGATCCAGGATAACTTAATCTGAAAAAAATTATCTCAGAAGTTTGACTGACAATATCATTATAAAATACAAATATTTAGAATACAATTATGTACATCATGATATTTTGCTTATTTCATATATGATTGTAGTAATTACATGAAGGTTTATTATGAAGACAATACATGTTTTTCTTGTTATTTAAAGGAGTTTTGGAGTAGCCATGTTTGAAGTAACGGAGTATGGACAACAACCATATAAAGATCTAACAGATGAAATGGTCTTACAGAATATGATTAAAGCTTATCCTACAAGTATAGAGTTACCCCACACAGATGATCCTATTAAATCTCAGTTGTAAGTCATTAACAGTAACCCCACACAGATGGTCCTATTAAATCGCAGTTGTGAGTCATTAACAGTTACCCCACACAGATGATCCTATTAAATCTCAGTTGTAAGTCATTAACAGTTACCCCACACAGATGGTCCTATTAAATCTCAGTTGTAAGTCATTAACAGTAACCCCACACAGATGGTCGTATTAAATCACAGTTGTGAGTCATTAACAGTTACCCCACACAGAAGATCCTATTAAATCTCAGTTGTAAGTCATTAACAGTTACCCCACACAGATGATCCTATTAAATCTCAGTTTTGAGTCATTAACAGTTACCCCACACAGATGATCCTATTAAATCTCAGTTGTAAGTCATTAACAGTAACCCCACACAGATGGTCCTATTAGATAGCAGTTGTGAGTCATTAACAGTTACCCCACACAGATGATCCTATTAAATCTCAGTTGTAAGTCATTAATAGTTACCCCAGTCATTAACAGTTCCCCCACATAGATGGTCCTATATAATCTCAGTTGTAAGTCATTAACTGTTCCCCCACACACATGATCCTATTAAATCTCAGTTGTAAGTCATGAACAGTTACCCCACACGCTGATGATCTTATAAATTCTCAGTTGTAAGGCATGAATAGCTACCCCACACAGATGATCCTTCTAAATCTCAGTTGTAAATCATTAACAGTTGATGTTAATGTTTATTTTTGTCTCACCTGCAATGAAAGTTGTGGAAGGTGAGACATAGGTGTTGCTTTTCCGACGCATCGTTGCCTGAGTCAGCAATTGTAAAGTTTACTGCTTAAGTCAGTTTGATAGGAACTGCTTGTGATAGATCAATGATATTTTCTTTAAAGTTGCATTACTATCAATATATATAAGTTTGACAACTATTTCGAGGCCCTGCTCCCTAGGTCAAGGTCTAGCGACTTTCAATTAATATGCAATTTTTAATGTTAAGTTTTCTGCTTAAGTTGGTTTGTTAAGAACTGCTTGTGATAGATCAATTATATTTTCTATAAAGTCGCATTACTACATGTATCTGTACTTATCAGTTTTATGAGTATTATAAGGCCCTTCCCCTAGGTCATGGTCCTGTGACTTTGAATTGATTGGCAATTTTCAATGTTAAATTTACTGCTTAGGTTAATTTGATAGGAACTTCTTCTGATAGATAATGATATTTTCTATAAAGTTGCATTACTATCAGTACATCTCAGTTTGAATCATTCATGGTCCAGCAACTTTGAATTAATTTGCAATGTTGCTGTCCATCAGATTGTCTTTTTCTGAATTTTTTGCCAACAGGCGTGACATATCTCTGTGTCAACAGTTTATTTAAGAAAGTAATAAAAAATATCTTTCTAAGTCAATTAACAGTTATTTTTAATGTTTATTTCTTAGAAAATAATAAAAAATATCTTTCTTAGTCAATTAGATACATTTTACATTATACATTTTTAAAATAAGAAAATTTGAGATAAAGACCAAGAAATATGTTCAACAGTTGTATGTTATGATCTTCAAAATATTATAGGCTGAAATAAAATTAAAAAAAAATGAACATCAGAATATCTGCAGGTTATGTTTTTTAATAATAGGAAGCTTGCAGCTATAGATAGATACATGTATTTAAACAATACAAATTATTTTGACTGTCATTCATGTTTATTTAGGCTGAAGGCACTGAATTATACTCATGATAAGTAAAAAAATGGTAAATGATATTGGAAAAAGTACAAGTATATATTTTAATATTGATAGAAATAAAGTATGAAACATGGAAGTAGTTAAAGGCTTATGGTGGATAGTTGTCTCATTGGCAATCATACCACATCTTCTTATTTTTATATTAAGTTACATACTCAAAGTAATTGTGGAATTCATCAGGTCAGTTCTGTTTTTGAATCTAATTTTTTTAGCACTTATCATATTTTATTTTTACTTTTTATGAGTTTATGTGGCAATGTTTTCAGCTCTTGAAATTGTTTTTTTATTTTATTATATTTCCTTTACAGTCTGGCTTAGTCCTTCTGAATGACTAAAAAGGGCCACTAATTTATGAAAATGGTTGTTTTCAGGATACTTAATTTATTCGTTTCCCACAAGCAAACCAACTAGGTATTTGTAATCATGTTTATGGTAATCTTTCTCCCAAGACTTCCCCTTAAAATTTATATTAATACAAATGGATACAGATTGCTAAAATAAACACACACACAAAAATCTGACATACATACATTACAAAATTAAGAGGGGTGAAAGGACCTTTTTTCGGGACGTCTGTATTGGGCCTTTAATTTTTGATGGAATTCAGGATCTACTCTTTAGGACACAGGAATTAATGATTAATTTTTCGAAATCCTGGAAAGGATGCTTTATTTTTTGGGGGGCATTTGGGATTCAGGTTTTATTTTTCTGGGATTTTGTACTGACTACACACTCAAGTAATTTAGCTGTAATGTCCAGAACCATACTTATCTATGCTGTTGATTTAAAATCTTAGGTACCAGATGATGCAGTTGTGTTGGCAGGATTCATCACATCGTCCCCAGATAGAGGAGATTCATGCTCAGCTTCAGAAGATTCAATCTGAGAAGGAGGCTGCAGATGAAGCAGAATTCGAGAGGAAATGGGCCAAGATGTCCACACGGGAAGCTAGAGTTGTTAAAGTAGAAGTTCATGCTAGTGATATTTCGGGATTAAAACATAATGTTGTCGATGACATTTGTGCAGCAGATTTTAATTCAAATTCCTTGCCCACTCATATAAATGTTGATGAAAAGGGAGATACCATTTTTAATTGTGAAATCGTAAGTGGAAGTATAGGACACGACAGTCCTATTAGTACTCCTAACAGACCTACGGTCCATCGGTCTACTAGTACACCTGTTGGGTCAAATAAAGATTCAAACAAAGTCAATAATTCACAACCTAGTACACCTGTTTCGTTAGGCAAAGATGTAAACAAAGTCAGTAATTCTCAACCTAATACTCCTCAAGTGTTCGCCAAAGATGTAAAGAAAGTCAGTAATTTAAATTCCCAGATGAATACATCTGAAGTATCATCAAATGAATTGAACAAAGTCAGGACTTCTCAGTCCATCACAGATGAGGACAAGTCTACTATTAGTGTTAAAACCCTCTCAAACAAGGACCAAACTGGTATTAGACCACAGCAAGTTACAAGCAAGGACCAAGCTCTTTCTTCTATTAATGAGGACAGAGTTAAGCTTGATAGCAGTATACCTGACATTTGTATAAACGGTACAAAAATAGAAAACAATCCTAGTTCAGAAAGTAGCGTTTGTAAGACCCAATTATATTTAACGGTAGATAAAGAAGGTAAAGATTCACAAAGTATAGTTTCCGGTGGTATGGGAAGAAATGAAGAGAAAATACATAAAAACGAGAATAGCGTTAGTTTTGTAAATAATAGTGTTGATAGTATTATAGATTTTGAAGAAAAATATGGAGAAACTCATAATAGTGTTCATAAACAAAAAATGTTAAGTGGCTTGCCAAAGAGTGACAATGTTGAAGATATCCATTCAGAAACGAATAGTAAAACAGACAATATTGATGATTTGTCAGACGAGAATGAAGAGGACGAGGCTGAGAAATTAAAACTGTTGAAACTTACTCTATCAGGTGTATTATTATCAACAGACATGAAAAGTTCAACAGATGAAAATAGTGGTATATCTAGTCCAACATCAGACGATATGGATATTGCACGTGAAATTTACATGTCAAAGGGCATGTCTGTTCCTCCGTCTAAATATACATCAACTCGTAGTCTTAATACAATTCTGGAAGACGAACTTCTTTGTGAGAATGAGAATGAACCTCAGACTATAGCCTCATCAAACGAACTAAAGTTTGTTGAACCTTCAGAGGACTTCAATATTTCTGATTCTTACATAGACAGTTTTGAATGGGACGATTACATAGGAGATGAACTAGTGGGCCGGGTCCGAAATAGTGACATATCTCCTAGAGAGTCCATTGATTTCCCAGACTGGACTATGGAACAAGATTCCTCTAGTCAAGACAGTGAAATTCAGAATGACTCAAAAACTGAGGCCAATCCCAGTGGAAAATCAGGAAAAAAAATGAATACATCCAACTTGTCAGACTCTGAGGTAAAGAACAGTCCACTCGGGGCTCTGGCTTCTACAAGAAGTCCAAAGAGTCCGCTTGGAGCTGCTGCACATTCTTATGTAAAACATATCCTCTCTAATCGTTCATCTAACACTAATAAGAATGTATCTTTCTACTCCTTCTCTCATAATACTGACCAGGAACAGGAGCATGGAACCAGTACTGCTTCCCTATATAACCCTATGGATGAATGGGAAATATGACAGACAAGGTAAACTATCCTGCTTGCTTAAATTCACTGCTTCAGAATCTAATGCATTCTGAGTAATATTTTCAAAAATGTTGACAACAAAATTTTGATTGATCTATAGACAACATCCAAAACAATTGATAGTTGACCATTCTGATGTAACTATTTTTGTGTACGAATTATTAAATTACCCATAATCCTTTTGATTCTGAAGCTGTGAATAAGGCTATGAAAATATAAATTTTGATTCTCTATCTTAATATCTCCCTTCTAGAAATTTACAAGACTGTAACACACAAGTAATTCTGTAAGAAAATGTGGTGTTTTTTCAAAGAGATTGCTGATGACTGTCTATGGGTGATACCACTCAACAACTCTCTGTCCTGACAGTCATTGTCTGTATAATAGAAAGTATATCACAGGGTTGTAAATCAGAGCGTTGTCACCTCACGTCACCAGGCATCACATATACACTGAATCACTAAAACTAGCTAAAGTGATTTATCTCTTCCCCAATCATAATTTATAGATGAAATTATGATTAATTTGATGTTGGGTAAAGGTTTAATATTATAGGCTAGCAACTTAACAACACAAGTTACAAAATAGAATTTAAAGGTCACCTAAAGCGTTTGTAAGGTAAGGTGTAGTACAAACTCTAAATCATCCACATTTTAAACTAGTGGTTACTACGTATACTAAACTAAAAGACCATGGAAAGAATCCAGGGTGTTTATTTTCATACATTTTGCTTATTTTTCATTGCGGGCCGCCCCATCAGTCACCTCTGAAAATAAATACAGATCCACTGACCACTGGCACTGAATATATAGCAGCTACCATTGACACTATTCCTCTACTCAACTTTGCCCTAATTTTTTATCTTGATGTTAGAAAAACAGAAACAGTTTAAAAACACACAAAAAAAATCTGTTTACCAAAGCTTGCAAATTGCAATGCAGAAGCCCATTTAGAAAAAAAATGACAGGTACCCTTCCAAAAAGAAAATTACTGCTTAAGATGTCTTTACATACCAGGCCAAAAAGAAAATTTAAATTGTTTGATGTTGCCTACCTACCCACCTAAAAAGAGGCCTACCCGAAAATTTTATGACACAAATCGTTTCAAAATTTTTTTGAAATTTTTTTTCGTGCTCTAAAGTCGCTTTCTTGTCTAAAACATGTAACTTATGTTGTTGGCCATAAAAAAAATCCCTACTTACCTACCCAACCCTACAAGGCATGGGTAGGCAACATCAAACAAAGAATTTGTTAAGGGTGGCCCCAGGTATTTACAATATATGGGGTGAGTGTGGAGGCCTTTTTGCAAGGTTTTAGGGGATGCTACCAGGTGAATTTAGGTCACACATTCAAGAACCTATGATGGGATGAGAATCAAATATTACTTTTCAATGGCCTTACTCTAGTTCTTTATATAGCATGTTATTATATTGTATGTAATATAGTAGATATGTCTGAACTCTTATATGACAAACTATTTAAAAAGCATGTTGTATCCTTTATCATGTTTATACACCTAATATCATCAGTAGAACTGTCCTGAAGACTCTCTGGCATACTGCTTAATAATTCTTATACTCAGGCTTAAAAAAAGTGTGGTATACTGTTTTACCTCTGTCTGTCCGTCCGTCCTTCCGTCCCAAGAATATTTTTTGTCGCATCTTTCTCAGGAACTACATTACAAGGATTTCTGAAATTTGGTTTCAGGGTTTATATAATTCAGCTATACCGTGTGATACGTTTTCAGATTCATCACTCAACAACTTCCTGTTTACCGAACACTTACATATTTTTACACTATTAAAATTATCCACTTTTAGTGGGGGTATCATCAGTGAGAAGTAGCTCGCAGTTTCACTTGTTCTTACTGTCAAATTGAAAGATTTCTTTAAGTTTCATAAATATAAATATACCCTGAAAAGCATGTCCAGTAAATTATTCATGAGTTTTCTGATTATTTTTGAATGAACATTACAGTAATTCTTTTCTCTTTGAGTTTGGTACCTGTGCATATATACTCATGATTTTTGTCGAGCCTTTGACTTATGTCAAAAAAGCGAGACATAGCGATCCTACATTCCGTCGTCGTCGTCGTTGTCGTCGGCGGCGTCCACAAATATTCACTCTGTGGTTAAAGTTTTTGAAATTTTAATAACTTTCTTAAACTATCCTGGATTTGTACCAAACTTGGACAGAGGCTTGTTTATGATCATAAGATAATATCCAGAAGTAAATTTTGTAAAAAAAAAATTCCAGTTTTTCGGTATTTTACTTATAAATGGACTTAGTTTTTCTGCCAGGAAATATTACATTCACTCTGTGGTTAAAGTTTTTAAAATTTTAATTACTTTCTTAAACTATCCTGGATTTGTACCAAACTTGGACAGAGGCTTGTTTATGATCATAAGATAATATCCAGAAGTAAATTTTGTAAAAAAAAAATTCCAGTTTTTCCGTATTTTACTTATAAATGGACTTAGTTTTTCTGCCAGGAATCATTACATTCACTCTGTGGTTAAAGTTTTTAAAATTTTAATAACCTTCTTAAACTATCCTGGATTTGTACCAAACTTGGACAGAAGCTTGTTTATGATCAAAAGCTAGTATCTAGAAGGAAATTTTGTTAAAATTTTGTACCTGTTTATCCGTATTTTACTTATAAATGGACATAGTTTTTCTTCCAGTTAACATTAAATATGTAGTCTGCAGTTTAAGTTTTTAAAACATTTATTAGATTCATAAACTATCCTGGATTTATACCAAACTTTGACAGAAGCTGCTTACAATCAAAAGATAGTATCTAAAGGAATATTTTTATTGATTTTTTTCCTCATTTTTGTTGAGCCTGCGATTAACAGCAAAAGTAGGCGAGACACTGGGTTCCGCGGAACCCTTACGAATTTTTTCACTTATATATATAAATATTTCTCACGAAAAAACATTTTCATATTATTTATTTATGTTCTTAAAAAATATTTTCATGAGTATTCATTGAAGAAATGAATTTATAACAAGCAATAAGGAATGTTATTTTGCACTCGATAATATCCGCATATTTATACGTAATACGTCCGAACGGTTATCAGTCAAAAGCGCAAGTCACATGGGTAGAAATGTCTGCGGCAACATAACATTGGAATGCCCTCAAGGTCATCCGCTGTAAAAATGTGTCTGATGACCTTGCCTTCTAACCAACATGGCCTATATGGCTAAAAGTAGAACATAGGGGCAAGTTTTGTATTTTATCTTGAAAACTGCTATAAAATAAAATAGAGAAAATCTGACACGGACAGAAATGTTAAGAAAGATGAAATCTACTTTTTATTCATTTACACCAAAACTGTAATAGAAATAGAGAAACTTTATATATAGCAAAAATTATCAGCAAGGCAAGATCTACAAATAAGTCAACATGGTTGAAATCATCTGATGACCCCTTATTGTTGAGTTACTGCCCTTTAATGGCAAATTTTACCAATTTATTTTGCATTTTTGGCTTATTTCTGAAAAAAAAAACTTTTATAGATAATTAGAAACATAAATGAGCAAAAATGAAAAGCTGACAAGATCTTCAAATAGATAAGGTTTATGGCCGAAATCATCAATGCTCTCATTATTGATGTTATTACTCTATAAGACAATATTTACCATCTTTTAGTGTTCTGCCTCTTATCTTGAAACAATAATAGATAGGTAGACACTTTAAATAGCAAAAATGAGCAACAATACAAGATCTACAAATAAATCATACATGGCCAAAATCGTAAGTCAACTCCTAATTGGAGTTCTTGCTCTTTTATCACGATTTTTGTCTTGCCTTGACGGAGTCAAAAAGCTAGTCCTAGGTATGCTGTTTCCAGCGTCGGCGGCATCGTCAACAATGTATTAGTTTATGCTTAGGTCTAGTTTATGGTGAACCACAAGTGGTAGGTCAATCATATTTGGTATGCAGTTGTATTAGCATTGGCACATCTCATTTCCATAGAGATAATTTGGCCCTGCCCCCTTAGTCATGGTCTATTGACTTTGAAACTTTTGCTTATTTTACATGTATTAGTTTGTGATTAGGTCAGTTTATAGGGAACCACAAGTGGTAGGTCAATCATATTTGGTATGCAGTTGTATTAGCATTGGCACATCTCATTTCCATAGAGATAATTTGGCCCTGCCCCCTCAGTCATGGTCTATTGACTTTGAAACTTTTGCTTATTTTACATGTATTAGTTTGTGATTAGGTCAGTTTATAGGGAACCACAAGTGGTAGGTCAATCATATTTGGTATGCAGTTGTATTAGCATTGGCACATCTCATTTCCATAGAGATAATTTGGCCCTGCCCCCTCAGTCATGGTCTATTGACTTTGAAACTTTTGCTTATTTTACATGTATTAGTTTGTGATTAGGTCATTTTATGGGGAACCACTAGTGGTAGGTAAATGATATTTGGTGTGCAGTTGTATAAGCATTGGCATATCTCATTTCCATGGAGATTATTTGGCTCCACCCCCTTAGCCATGGTCTATCGACTTAGAAACTTTTGCTTAGTTTACATGTATTAGTTTGTGTGTGATTAGATCAGTTTAAGATGAACTGCTTATGTTAAGTCAATGATATTTGGTATGCAAATTTATTGGCGTTTGCAAGTATTGTTTTCATGGAGATTATATAGCCCCCACCCCCTCTTCATGGTTCATTGACTTTGAAATTTTTACATAGTTAACAAGTTAATGTTTGTGTTTAGGTTTGTTTAAAGGGAACGACTTATAATAAGTCAATTTGGCACATCTTATTTACATGGAGATTGTATAGCCATGTACCTCAGTCATGGTTCATTGACTTTGAATATTTGCATAACTTATGAAACATGTTAAAGTATAGCTATTTTAATTTCAACATTTGCATAATCACATGTACACAAGGGCGAGACATATCTCTGTGATAACAGTTTATTACCATTATTTTGCATTTTTATACGACCGCAAAAATTTTGCGGTCGTATATT